GCTTGTAGTTCTATTTGGGGGTTTGTTGTGTTGTTCCCCCAGCAAGGCTTATTTGTGTTCCTGTTGCACTGGATTTGGTGCGTGTGTGCTTGTTCGGACCTAGTTCTCTGAACGTTGGATGACATGGTTGTTGATGCAGTGCTTTATAATATATAAAGCGGGAAACCCTTTTTCGTCAATATTGAAACCACACATGATAATCCTTATTACACCGTCATACACCTTTCAGAGATATATAGCAATAAAACCCTATATGATGTAGCATGCCAATTACTTAGGTTAGTAAAAATCTCAAGAGGGTAACAAAACTATGGGATAGACCGTGTAAGTCAAGATTGATTCTTTTTGGTGTAAGCCAATTTTTTGACTGACGAAACACCATCCAATGGCCAGGATTGCGCAACCGTTGATCATCTTCCTCCTCACGAGTCGCCTCCTAGGCAATGCAACTGCCGAGGTCCACCACACAAGGCCATCCCTCTAAGCCCCACCTATTCCGACGCCCACAACCCCCCACCGCCCCAGGCACCCACACTTGTTTGTCAACCTGCTTCCCCGCCGATTCTCATGACACGGAGCACCGTCACCAGCTTCGGGCTTGAGCTGAACGCGTCTTCCTTGCAAAATTGACTTACACCCCAAAAAAATTCAGTTGACATACATAGAGCCCACATGCCAAACTATGTATTGGCCACTTATCGCAATGAGGATTGAATGCATGTGGATTTTGAGCCTCTCATCACTATCACCATGCCCTTCCTCCTTCCACCATTCTCCAACAATCATTGACTTCCTCTCTGCCCATCTAGGCTCTCTAGTGCCTCCTTTTTTCACCCTGACTCTATTTTGGGTATATCTTATAAAAAATAAATATCAACTAAAATTGAAACCATATAACTTTTTATGTGTTGAGGATAAAGATGCAATGATTAAAAAATAGAAGGCATAGCTTGTCCAAAAAATGACCCTCTAATAAAGTGACTATATGACCTTCATATTGTTGCTATCAGGTTATGTCCAGGTTCAGAACATCAAGTAAGTACCACTAAGTGCTAGTGTTCAATCTTCATGGTAAAATATACCCCCTCCGTCTCAAAAAGTAAGAAATTTTTTTATACTGTCACAGTGTCAAAAAAACATCTTGCATTTTGAGGCAGAGGGAGTACCAAACAATGCAGCTGCTCTCACATATTTTCAATCTATTGATATTTGCTTAGATTCATCTTGCAGCCATGAATGGCAGGAAAAGTAGTTTCTCAACTCCCAAGTAACAACTGACGTATGCCTTGTCCAAGTACATCAAATACCATCTAATAATGTGCATCATAAAACAAGTTTAAAATCAGATATGGCCTAGTTTGAGTACTTAACTGGACAAAACATATGCTACCTACCTATACATTTTTTTATGGAACCTGCTTATTTATAGATATACTGGATAACTTTACAAAGTCGTTTGCATACACACCATACACTATCACGCACACGGCCTACCGAGGTTTCAGAAATACCTGTCACTCTAGCTAAGGAAGCAAGGTCATGATCTACACAATTGCTAAAGAGAGCCTTGGCTCAGTGGTTGGGCATGCGGTTGTGCAGCCTAACGATTCGAGTTCAATTCCTAGAATTGAACAGGTGATGCACAGGGATTTTTCCCCATCTATTGAGGATCAAGTTTGGAGTATGGTGGAACCACTCATCAAAAAATATCTTGATACTCATTTAAAAATTATGAGGATCATGTTTATCTTGGTACTCATACTAAAATGGACGTATGCATCCCTAGTTGGTGCAGAGGCTGGGGAAGTGAAATTCTCCCCCAATTTTTAAGGCATAAACCTAGCGCTCGCGTCGCCTCCAGGGGGGCAGCTCGGGTGCCCTAGCAGCCGCTGCCTCCAAGCCCTCCCTTCCCACCCTGATTCTCCCCCGCCGCCGGAGGAGGCTGGTGAGCGAAGCTCGCCCGGCAGACGGCGGACCTTCCTCCTCTCCTCGCGAGGGGATCCTTTGGCCGAAACGTCATGGCGAACCTGGTCGCCCGGCGTGTAGGCAGAGTGGGCGTGATGGGGCGGCGGCCCGATCGGATTCTGGCGTGGTTGTGCCTCCACGGCTGTGGGGGCAGCATGGGGCCAGCCATGGTGGCTGGCGGCGGCGGATCTGGGGCCCCCACCCCAGATCGGTTCCCCTCCAGATGGTGTGGGCTCGGGCGCCGGCCTGGCGGCGGTGGGCGCGCGCCGAGGTTGCCCCCACTCACCGGCGCGGTTCGGGATGGCCAGAGGTGTGTGCGTGAGGCCGGCATCGTTCGGAGTCGGCTCTGACGTGCGCGGCA